AGAATTGCATAGCATAGAAAATTTCTGAAATATTTTCACACTGATTCTCTGTCAGCAATTAATAACCTTTGTTGTATGCTTATTATGGGTCAGCATGGTGTCTAATCATACATGAATTACTTTTTAAGTGACATTAACAAACTTTTTACTAGCACTGGAAAGTACACCAAACACAGTTTACATATGAACTGCTTTTATGTTCACAACAAGTATACGAGATGAGTTCTACTACTCTCCCGGCTTTACATATAAGGAAGCTGAGATTCTTAGAGCTGTAATTGTGTGAAATCACATAGTTACTGCTAAGACTGGGCATCTTCCCCCCTCAGTACTGGGCACTGAATTCGGGGCTTTCACAATGAACTACATTTCCCAAGTGAGGCTTGCCCTGGTGATCCTCCTGGTTAACTTTCCACAGGGCTGAGATCACAGAGTTGTGCTATTAGGCTCAGCTAATGCTAGGACTTCTGAACTCCACTAACCTGATACCATAGTGCTTGCAGCAGACACTGTTATTGTCCCCTAGCACCATGGTGGCTTCCTTGAGCAGATGTGTTTACTCCCAATCAGCGCAGTATCTATACACAGTAGTCCCACATTACTGACAACTAGAAAATAAATATTTCTATTATTTCAAGGGTTCAGTGGAGGCAAAAAATTGCAAAATTAATTTTTTGAGAGGAGATAGTTCATGTACGAAGCCAAATACCTTAATACTGATTTGCACACTGTTACATGACTTTTAAGACCACAGATAAAAAAATATTTACATTCTCATATGTATTGACATTAATATTCACCTCCTAAAATTAGTCATAAGAAGCTTATATAAACAAGGAAGATGATGGACACTGTGGTCGTTATTTCAAATTATATACCTCCTCTGTTCAATCATTGCCTTTATATACTAAATTTGGATCAAAGCAGGGACAAAACTATTTTAAATATTATGATGTTAAATATTGCTTAGCAGGATTAATCAATGGAAAATCTAAATTTGAAGAGGCTGAAATAACAACCTTTGACGTGGTTAGCATTTAAAACTTTTTGACTTGGGAAATCACCAAGGCAGCACTTTAAGAGGATTTGATTTTATAGGCTCCTCAATCCAAGAGTTTTTAAAAATACAAAAAGTGACGTGGCCTTGGAGACAGGACAGGAATCAGGCCATCACTGTGAAGCTGCTTTGCTTTGGAACAGTGTGTTCCTGAGTCTGGATCCACAATTCTCTATAGGAAAGGTTTAGGTTTTCTGGCCAAGATGAAAGAGGCTCAGAAGTCTGTTGAAGAAGTCAGAAGAAATTCACAGATAAGAACACTGTGGAAGCTTAGTCCCTGACCTACGGGGAAATGGAGAAGAGAGTCGAGATAATTATGTCGTTAATGTTTGGTAAAATTAAAGTTCACCTTTAAGGAGTCAGATCAGTAATGCACAAGAGCCGTTCCTCAATCAGTGATGAAAAAGAGGAAAGGCTCTACTACAATCAGGAGGCTTTATAGTATTTAAGTATTAACATTTGTAAATTTTAACTTAACACATTTAAAATGGGGAGTAAATTTAAGGACATAATGAGTAGGAGAAAAAATACACCTGGATATAATCACTCCAAAAGAAATGGCTCTTTATGCTTCCTATACAGAAGCACAGAATGCTTATTTGTTACTGGTATTCTGATTGATGAAAAAGAAAAAGATGGGTGTTAGCAGAGGTCAGTGAAATGCTTTTACTCCTTAATTCTAGTCTGCATCTGTTGTATTTGGACCAAGACAAAAGCAGAGGCCAGACAAATTTATAAAATGCTATGACTTTAAATAGCTTTATATTTAAATAATACAGTGCAGCATAATATCAAGGAGCTAGGTAAAATTTTGCTATCATTAAGAAAAGATGTCAACCTTCAATTATTTGACCATAATTGCTAAATAATTTCTACTTACTGGTCTCTGTGAGGGTACTGATGTCTTACTGGAAGCCTAACTTGGTGCTGAATCACTAGGACTTCTTCTTTCAGACATAGTTCAGACCAGTAATAACAAGTGAACCTTAGAGAACCCAGTGCCAAGAAGTATTCAGAGCCCACTGTGGAAATCTTACAGCTTTAGTCCCTACAGGGAAAGCCATGGAAGATGTTTTATCTAAGCAGCTTGGAAGCTTCTGAGGTAAAGCTTGAGAGGAGGTAGGAGCTCGACTGAATGGTAATGCCATACCTCAATCAACCTCGTCTTCATGGGGCTTCTTCCTCTATCTTATGTTCAGATCGGATTAAGGAGCCGGATAGAAATGCAGGTACAAAGCCAAGTCATTAAGTTGAAACGTGATATGAATTTGACCATTGCTATATCTCACAACTAAATGTTATTTATAAAGAAGTGAAGTGACATTTGAGAAGTGATGTCATGCACTGATCTCTTGTTGTGAATTCTGATACGGTCTTTGAATGTGATGTTCTCTAAGGGAGCATTTAGTACTTAGAGCTTTTAGTACAGATGAATCCATAGTATATTTTACAAATTCAAACATTAAAATGAATAAATTTTAGTTGGAATGATGCAAAATAACTGACACGATTTTTTAAAAAGTTGTCTCTTTCCTTCGTAGGTTTTTATTTATGTAATTTTTAGTGCATGTTTGCAGTAAATAATTATCAAGTTCATCACAGAGGATTTGTACATGTACATAATCCCTCTAAATTCATTTTCTATTCACTTCTCTTTCTCACCCTCTAACCCTTCATCCTCTTCCCATTTACAAAACATCTGTTTCCATTTTTCTTTGAAATTTTCCTGTTTTTACTGTATCAGACTTTTATATGAATTCCAGCCACCCCCAAATTCCTGATTTCTTTCATCCTGATTTTTTCCACTTCTACTAGTGCACATTTGCACTACATAATGATTACATTCACCATAGGGAATTGGTATAGGTATGTAACATGTTTCAATTCCCTTATTCCCTCCATCCTTTTTTTATTTTTCCAGAATCCAATTCGTCTTATTTATCTTATAATCCCTTGTCCAGTTAATTATCATACATACACATAGAAAACCAGCCTAATAGGCCGGTTTATAAAACATGTAAAACAACTGTACTGTCAAGGTGCACTTTTAGATGCACTGTCCACGTTGGATTACAATATGTTTGTTTTCTTTCTCTTTTTTCCTATTGTTTTTTTTTCAAAATTTTTGCACTGTATATTATTTTGTGTATATATACATAATATTTTATGTATACATAATATATATAGATAAAGCAAGAGAGAAAGAGAGAGTTTTGCACATAAGAGAAACCATGTGATATTTAAGTTTGTGGGTCTGAGTTACTTCACTTAACATCATGGTCTCAAGGTGCCTTCATTTTCCTACAAATGACTCAAGTATGCCCTTCTTTATAAAACAGTAGTACTCCATTGTGTATAAATACTACAATCTAATGTTTTTATCTATTTATGAACATATAGGCTGTTTCCAAGAGTTAGCTGTTATGAATTCTGCTGCTAAAAACATGGGTATGTGTATATCACTGCGGTATGATGTCTTTAACTCTTTTGGAAAGATACCTAAAAGGGGAATAGCTGGGTCACATGGAATTTCTACTTTTAGCTTTTTGATTATTTTCCATACTGATTTCCATAATGGTTGTATCCAGTTTACACTCCTACTAACAATTGGGAAAAGTTCCTTTCTCCCCATAGCCTCACCAGCATTTGTTATTGGTTGATTTCTTGATAGTAATCATTATTTCTAGATAGAGATGGGATCTCAGTGTTGTTTTCACTGGCATTTCTTGATTTCAGTCTGTGTTCAGTTTTGCTGAACATTTTTTCAGGTATTTATTGGCCGTTGGTATTTCTTCAACCTAAGAAGTATCTATTCATTTTAGATGCCCATTTTCAATTGGGTCTTTAAAGTTGGGTGGTCTAATTTTTGTGAGTTCTATATATAATCTAGATACTAGTTCACTGAGGAATAGCTGGCAAAATGATCTTTCCCATGCTGTAGGGAGACTCTTCACTTTGTTAGTGCTTTCCTTTGTTGTGCAGAATCTTTTTAACTCGTTGTGATCCAATTTGCTGAGTTTTGGTATAATGGATTTTAAAAAGTTGTTTGAATGTCATGATTATAGAAAAATCAGAGACTTCCATTTTTTAAACAATAAATTATTGTCATGCATACCACTATGATTATTCTTTGGTTCCTTAGTACTTTTTAGCAGGACATTTCTTCCATTATTTACATGCATTCTTTTGTTTTGTTAAAGGTTTCTTCATATAGTTTCTGGATTTGTTATCTTTACATTTAAATTTTGAAATACATCCATGCATTTGTTTATTTAACCAACACATATTACTGAGTACCTATTTGAAGTCAAGGAAAACAAGGAGTTGGCAATGGTCCATGAGGAAACAAACTGGGAACTGATCATGGACATAAACAGATAAAGTCAGTACAACAGACTGCTATTACAAATTAAGCAACTGCTACAAAATATAATCTGATAAAACATCAGAAAACATCTCTTAGGACTTTTGCTATAAATTCCTAGTAAAATATTTCTTTGTCCATGTTGAAGACACAAGAGATTTCTCTGTCCTAAAAAGGCTTTGAGACAGACAATGTCTACAAAATGTAGACCATGTTACAGGAAAAATAAACATCTGTAGAAAAAATTTCCCCATCAAACAAAAAAAAATCATACACTGTATGTCAGTTATGAACAGAAGCCAATGTAAAGAATCATTTGAAAGAAGATATAATCAACATATTAAAAATATTTTTATCTATTGTAGTGACTTTGCTTCTAAAACAACCAGGACTATGTTAAGGAGTGGTACTATGTTTTGACTGATTGTGCTTTAATTTCAAGTGTTTAGAAAAGTTTGCAACACAGCACACATCTAGAACTCTCCATTTAAATATGTGTGCAGGAGAGTTGAAGACAAGCTTATTTTTAAATGTGTCCTGCTCTGATACCATACTGGACAGTGCTCCGTTCTTTCACAGGTGACTATGTGGTCATGTCAGTCTACTTTGACCTGAGCAGAAGGATGGGCTACTTCACCATCCAGACCTACATCCCCTGCACGCTCATTGTGGTCCTGTCTTGGGTGTCCTTCTGGATCAACAAGGACGCTGTTCCAGCCAGAACATCTTTAGGTAAGATTCATTTCTTTACCTCCTACATTGACGCACTTTAAATGCAGTCTGTAGTTACACAGAAATTCATTTGTTTTATTTTAAGGAAAGCCAGCATATCTTAAAAAGCAGTCTTAATCTTTCCTAATTCTGTAGTTCTGTTTTTCTTATTTACATCAATAGGAATTTTTTTAAAGCACATTTTAATATAAATTTAATTTAACAACAATGCAAAACACTAATGTCAACAGCATTTTGTTTTAGTCTCTGGGCACTAACATACTGAAGTTGCTCATACCAGCTCAAGAGAAGTAGCTGTCTACCCTTTTTCAATTCTGTGTTGGTGTTGCACAGATAGCTACAATTCAGCCAGCATGGTAGTATGAACAACATAAACATTCAAATATCCAAAAATCAGGCTGTTCTGTTTCCTTCTGCCAATTATCACACATTTCCCAGCACACAACAGTCCACTGGTTAACTGAAACATGCATGTTTATTTTGAAGATATTTGAAGTAAATGATTGTTAATAAAAGAGCCAGGGAAAATATTTTTTTAAAAAACATATTTACTTGTAAAATTTTAGGAACAAAACCACTTTTAAGATTACTCGAGGTTTGTTCAGTGTACTGTAGTTAGTAACATGAGGGTTAGATTTTCATATCTTTTCTTCAGCTGTGGAAGATGTCTCAAATAGACTAAAAAAAGGCCACAGACTCTGAGGAACACGAAAGCCTAGGCGCCTGAATGAAATTCTCATATTACACCAAACTCTGTAAAGTCTCAACTAAGCACACAGCAAGGAAAAGAACAATTGTAATACAATTGCCTCTTACCAACTGTGTGATGCCAAGAAGCCTGCCCCTTGCTAAGCCTCTGACTAAAGAAGTGGTATACTGTAATTGTTACTAACTTGAGTTATTAGGTGTAAGAGATCTGACATTTGAATCACAGAGACAGTACGACCTTGGAATGCCTAGTCTACAAATCACAGTTTCCCTATGTGTGAAATATATATGTATTTTATTTGTAGCATTTGCTTAAAATTCTTCTACGCAAACACACTGAAAAGAGTGAAGGCCCCGAAATGATGGCTACTGCAGTCTTTTTCTGATAAAATGAGCTGCACTAGATTATCAAATGGAAGGCAGAAATGATTACTGGAGAAGGCATCTTTTGCATAGCTGTCCTCTTCCAAACCTAATTTAGTCCCCCATCTGCTGCACAATGAAGCTATTTTAATTTTTCCTGTTATACGCAGTACTTTGTGCTACAAGTCCTATTCAGCAATTCAAATGTCTAATGCTACACGCTGAAGCAAACCCAAATACACAGAGCCCAATACTTGGGGACAATTGCTTGTCACTAGGGAATAGAATGTGTGCCATTCGACACTTACCCATCCACCTCTCAGATCAGAATGTAAACAATTTTCATTTCTAGCCTAGGGCTTGCCACATAGCTGGCACTCTGAGGACTATAGAATTCATGTAGATGCTTATGAATAGATGGAAAAGACATCTATATATTCCAGTCCACCTTGTTCCCCAAAAACATTTTAAGGAAAAGATTTTAATCTTTTCTCTTGAATCCTGGACTCCCGCTGGCCAAAATCCCTTCTATGACCCTGTGGATAGCTCATTTAGTCACTCACTAACAATCGCCCATTGGCAAAGAAATTATCTTGGAAGAAGAGATCAAAGTGAGTGAAGGCATGAAGGACAGGCTCCTGAGTGCCATGTATATCCTCCTGCTGCTTGATTATTTACAACTCAGGCATGCTCAATAAAGAATACTTTTAAAGGTGTTCTTACTGAGATCCAGCACTATGCTATCAGAACAAATCTAATAGATGATTATTTAATTTCCCAAAAGCATGATGCGGGTGTTGAGATGTTAAAAAAAGAATTCAAATGCTCAGTCTCCTTTTAGAATGCTGCTACTCTAGTTTTCACTGAGTTCCATCATCCTCTCCAATGTTTACAATCACGGGTTAAAAGAGATAACTTTGAATGCCTGTCCCTGCAGACTTTAAGCTTATTGCTACAGAACAGTCAGACCCAAGTTGTTGGATGAGCAAGATGAACAGGCCATCATTGCTTGAAGACATTGGCTGTTTACTGAGCTGACACGGCGGGCACATGCGACACAGTCATACTCAAGCTGATAATGTTTACATGTACTTCTCACACAGATGGTAGCTAGTGAGATTCAATACACTATCATGATGATGCGTGAAAGTACAAATGGGTAGTTTTCACCCACATAATCAGAGGTGAAATAACATCTCTGAAAAGCTTTATTCTTGGTAAAAGTTATAGTTTTCATCTACCTCAGGCAAGAGAGGAACCATGTCTCTGTTTAGTTAAACTAGATTAAAAAACATTTCAAGACTTCAAATTGTTGGTGGGTGAATCAGATAAAATCAAGACTTCTCGACTTCTTATTCTTGATGTGAGAGCAATTCTATTCCCTGTAGCTTCGAGCAGAATCCTGAAAATATCATGAGGTACTTATTCAAGATTACACATTACATGGTTGTGATAAACATCCTTGCAGCCAAGATGAGTATATCATGTATGTTTCAGAATATTTTTGCTGAAAATATCTCATGCCAGGTTTTCTAAAATAACTCATTCATATTATCTACCATAAAATACTAAAATTTTCAGTTGTCAGAGGTAAAGTGTGATTTGAGGCCCGATTGCAAAATAAAGTCCATGGTTCTAATTTAATCTTTAAATTTTTGATAAAAAAAGGTATAATTAGATATAATCAAGAACTCTAACATTAATTAATGCATAGACAGCCTAATTTAACTTTTTACATTTAAGAAATAGAACATTAAAATCAACGATACCAATTCGTAACTTTTATTCAGACTTTACTAGATACTGTCACCTGTATAAGTCATTTTTCCATGGGATTCATAGCCAGGGGCCTAACTTCCTTCTGTTAGGCTCCCCTACTAAAGTGTCTACCACCTGCCAATACACAGAAGACTGTCAGAGCACATCATTTCCCCAAATGAATACTGTAATCTATAATAACTCTCAACTGCCTGATGCTTCACAAGATACATCATAAGGACATTGTGAAGATTTTACAGGATAATATAAAGAGCACTCCAAGTCATACCCAATCAAAGGTGCTAAACTATCTCTTACATATCATAAATATGGATTCCTGTTCTCAAATGGAGGTTGAGTCTCTTTGGTCACTCACAAATATATTATTCATTAATCTTTACTTCACATTTTTCACTCACCGAGTACGTACTGAGACCTAGCACTATGCCCAACTGTGAGTTTACAATGGTCATGAGACACATCCGTTGTTACAGAAAATATAACACAGGAAGACGGATCGTCAGACAATCTGTAGCAAGGCCTTGGACATTTAGAAGTATAGCTTCCTTGATTACTCCTCTCCTTTACCAAAGCCTGTTCATCCCTGCGAAGCTGTTTCAACTAACACCTTTTTCTCCCTCTGTGGGATTTCCAAACACCATATGTACATTGAAAACTTTGATGTTAAGCTAAGATTAAATGACCGAAGAGAACCTTATGTTCTTGGAGATATAGTTAAATGTTTTAAAAATGGCTCCAACAAAGAAAAACTTGGAGATTAGGAAAAATATGCCAATTTTTATCTTTTCTTCATATTTCTTCAACGGTTTTTGTTCTGCTCATTCATCTTTGAGCATATGCCAACAGCGACCCATATCTTCGAGAAAAACATTTCCTCTCTCGTGAATGATGCCACTTTTCTTCTCTGCGGCTTCCTTCCCCCACGCTCTTCATTTCAATCTGGCTGACTCCTTGTGCGTTACCCAACACCTCCTTTTAAATCAGGATAATGTGATTGTCCTCTAGGAGCCTCTTGGATGGCAGTAATAGTCACTGAATGCTACTAAATGATGATATCTTTGGGAGCCTTTTCACTCTGTGAGAAATATATCTCAAACTTGGTGACGGTAAAGGGATGGACAACTTATTTCTGGAGTAGAATGAGATATTTCCTGTCATTGGAAGACATGCAAACTTAGAATCAGAGAATAATACCAACATTGGACCTTCCAAGATATAGCTCAAAAGATGGAAAAACAGAGGTCCAAAATGATTAAGATGATAAAGTTCCTATTGTACGACCTAGAGCCAAACGGATTCAAGCGCTGAATCATTGTTATCTTTCTTACACAAATTTTCCAAGAAAACCTCTGATTGTTCCCTGGTTGTTGCACACAGGTTGTATTAATTTTGCTCCCCGTTGGGAATCAACTATTTGAGGTGGTTAGTTTTCTTGGATACAGTTATACAATATAGAAAATAAATAGTTTTGAACTCATACATTGAATTCTTTTGTTCAAATCTCACTTGCGCATCTTTACTAATTTTTGGAGGTGGTGCTGTTTCTTCATCTCATTTTCCTCACCTATACAATCAATGAAAATATCCATCAAGAAGACTCAAAGAAATAATGCACATAAAATATTTGTGATAATGCCTAGAACAAAGAAGTTTTCAGTAAATTCTATTTATTATGTTGTTTTTGAGATATTTGTTTTATACTATAATAGTTATCAAATAATTCTTCAATCATATTGTGTCATTTACACAGAACCTACATCTTCTATTCAATACTTCTCAATGATTTCTCCTTACCCTTTGAATGAAACCAACATTTCAGGCAAGCCCTGCAGGATATAACTTCTTTTTCACCAACACCATCATGACCTCCTTATTAGTCAAGCATTTTAAAACTGCCTAAATTGACAGTATTTCCTTCTCAGAATCTTCAACTGATGTACACATAATCAAAAGTTTGTTTTTTCTTATTACATTTGGAACTTGACTTGAAATATCAACTCCTTGAAAGGGGCTTCAAAGAGTTAGAATTGCGAGATATGTAGGCCTTAAAATAGCTCAAAAGATGAGACATTACCCATGAGCATTGCGTTTAATGAGGTTATCACTACTCTTGCCGTTTTCCATGGCACCCACTATAATTTGAAATTACATATTCCTTTGCTAACTTGATTTATACTTTGTCTCTTTCACTGATATAAAAGGCATATAAGGAGCAGGACCAAATCTAATATATTTATTCAGTGCTTGCCACCATAACTGACACCTACTAGATAGCAATATTTGCAGAGAGAGAAAGACAGAGAGAGAATTAAGTTTAGGCATACATTTTTTCCTGGTTACTGAGGTTACTTATCAAAAGTCACAAAAGAAATTTCTTTTCAGAAGTTATTAAGTTATTAACTGACTAAGTAATGCTGTAACATCATCTGTTCTTTTGTGTTTCTCTGTAGGCATCACCACTGTCCTGACAATGACCACCCTGAGTACCATTGCCCGGAAATCTCTCCCCAAAGTCTCCTATGTCACAGCGATGGATCTTTTCGTATCTGTTTGCTTCATCTTTGTCTTCTCTGCCTTGGTGGAGTATGGCACCCTGCATTATTTTGTCAGCAATCGGAAACCAAGCAAGGACAAAGACAAAAAGAAGAAAAATCCCGTATGTATTATTTCCCACTGGGACCACTGAGATTGTTATGCAGAAAGACCACATAGGTTTGGCTTGGTTTTCTTGTGTTAGCTTACCTATATGTTAAGGCTCAGTACTCTGGCCTTCAAAACGAAAAGAGAACAAGTGAGCTGTTGTCATGCCCATAAAGATAAATCTATGGTCACCCCGTTACTTGAGAGAAATCTGTTCTCTAAGACAGTCCTCCCAATATAACTACTTGCTCTCTTCATTTTGTGGGGATCAAAATTGTTGCTGCATGGATATTCCATGGAATATATTGATATTCCATTTGCTACTATCCCAGGTTTAACTGATTTTCATCTTTCTGTCCAACTCACTATAATACTTAAATTACTGATATTTTAAATTAAAACTTTCATCTAAGACATTTTCCTGGGAAGGCTCATGCTCCTGAAGATTCAAGAATCACCAAACTTTTGTAAATAACTTCATGTGTGCATGTGTAGAAGAGTGTGTGTATATGTGTGTGTGTGTGTGTGTGTGCGCGCGCATGCCTGTATATATGTGATGCTATCAGACGACTTCTATTGGTTGCGTATTAACATATATGTTTTTGTTGGCTCATTTTGGTTTGAGGAAGTTACTTAACCTCCCTGGGTCTTTGTTTTATATAAAATAAAATGAATATTGTGCAAAATAAACATCTCAGAAGGTTGGTGTGAGAAATAAGCATAGTAAGGGAGGATAATAAGCAAAAATATTACCAAAAAGTCACACACAAAAATCCTTAGTTTTAGTAGTTGGTAATCACAGCTGATGTTGATTTACACAATTACAACCTAAATTTCTTACAGTGTCTATAGCATTTGGCAAAAGGTAGGAACAACTTTTGCTTGAGCCGAACTTCAAACAGTGAGGATGAGACACAAATATAAATGCCGTGGAGCTGTGTTTCACTGTGAGTGCTGGGAAGGGTATGTAGCTGTGATTTAAGGACCCGATTACACCACGTGCCTCACAGAAACCTTCTGAGAAAGCAGCTGAGGGAGTGGCCGTACACTCTGGCTTTCTAAACTTGCCTGGTTGTTGCTCTAAGACATAAAAACCATGACAGTGGCAAACTATCTGATTCATGAACTTTTCAGCCCGAAGTATAAAGAAGCAATCTAGAAGCTCACCTGAAATTCTACAAATGGCACGTTTACAGGAATATGAGACTTTGCAGCAGATAAAGAAAGACTGATAATTATTCTTAGTGATTAATAAAAACAAGAAATGATTATTTCAAATTTCTTAAATGTTTACTATACTTTATGCCATCACTCCTTCTGTCTGCCTCTCTCTGCCTTTTAATATATTCTATCCTTTTTTACTTTCCTTGTTGTGCTGGTTTTTTTTTTTTCTTTGCTTGCTCTCCTTCACTTTTTATCTCATTCTCTCCAAAGAAGATGGATCTTTTGACATTCCACATTCCTACCTGCCAGCTCTAATGAGGGTATGAGGGCTGGCTTTTAGACAGCTTCTAAAAGGATCTTTAGAAAAAGTCCTATGGTCTTTTCTATCAGTGGTGTCATTGTTGAGGGGATCTGTTACAGAAAGAGAAATAGTTGGATCTCTTTAATTTAAGGTCATGGAAGTAAAAGAGAAAGGACAAAAAGAAGAAGATAGGAAAGAGGATTAGAGAAAGTTAGAAAGTGACATTACCAGAAAAATTTTCCCTTTAAGCTAATTCATTAATTTATACATTAATGGTTAGACTCTAAATGGTGAATGGGAAGCTAAAATTTTATTTTCCTGTGTAATAAGATCTTGGCTTATTTTGTCAAGATTGACTTATGAAAGCCTTCTTGATGGCAATTAGAAAATAAATTAGTAGTTTTTCTATACAGGGATATCAGATAATAGGAAGTTTATTAACAATTGAACAAGATTGGCTTTTGCAGTCATATAATTGTGGGGTAATTTATCAACACTTTCTCTAGAATCACAAAGTTCCATTTTTCTGCTTTAGAAATATATTTTATCCAAAGCCCAGAGCTCTTCTTCTGTGTTCATAATTTCAGTTTCTTTTAATTACTATGTTTTCAAAATGTATCTTTAATTTATCTTATTTTGTCTCTCTTTTCTTTCTGTTCCCTTTTCCCTTCTTTTTATTAAAAAATGCGATTCTCGTTTCTGTCTACAAACCCAAAGCTTCTTCGGATGTTTTCCTTCAAGGTATATTGTTTTTGGAATGGGAATTCACTGCATGCAACTGCTGAATTTAAGTATTGATGCTTACATGGTGTTGTTTTTTATGAATAGACATTTAAGCATTCTGCTAATGATAACATATTCAAGATGGAGAAAGTTCTATGGATTTCTGTTGATTCAGCAACTATATACCAATTCGCATAAATTCTGATCTTACATCAAGCTCTAAAGCTATAAGCCCTATGACATTTCATAAGTAACGAGAGGCTCTAAACATCAAAGACAAATCTGACCTGCTCTCCTCAGATTAAAATGTGATGCAGTTTCACTGGCTATCACTATCATACATGCATTCCCTTAAAACTGGATTTAACCCTGTAAATCCTAATTAAAAAATTGGATTTTAAATGTTGTCTTGTAAACTTACTCCCCCTTTTTCTGAGCCATAATTGTGAATTTTATATGAAAATGCTGTCTTTAAAAGATTCAGTTAAAACATCCATCCCTTCATCCTATGGTACTTAGCAGCCAGCTGCCTCTATGAAATATGGCAAGGAAGATTTCTGTTCAATTCTTATAGCTCATTAAAAGAAATGAGGATTTGTTTTTATATTATCCTATAACTCAGACAGATTAAAATTAAACAAATCCTTTAGTGTTATAAAAATTTACTATTGCTTTGGAAGAAAATGTTAGATTGGCATGTGGAGAACTAGTATTATTTCCTCCTCAAACGCTAAAATGAGTTTCTTAAGTGCTTACCTTCTTTTTCTTTGAAATTTTCATACATATGGAAGTAAATACTGCTGATATTCTTAAGCTTAGAGAATACAAGGCAGAGTACCATATTCTCCTAAAATTTAAACCTTTGTCATATCAAGTCAAGAAGCTTTAATGTTTATATTTACATATATATTTTAACATTTTCTATTAACATCATTTAACACATTTGCTCAGTGTAATAATGACGTTTTTCTATTTGCCTATAAGTAAGCATGACATAAAATTTGATTTCAAAATAGATGCATTTTTATTTCTGTTTCACTCACATGCAAAACCATTAAATGCCTTCATGTTAACCAACTTCACGTCTAACGATTACTAGAACAAGACTTCATGTAGTTTGATTTAAATCTTTAAACTTTGATTTCTTTTGGTGTTCAATATTCTTGCTATAGCTATTAGCTTGATATTATTTTCAGCTGCACTGCTTAAGCTCAAACTTTGAAATCTGCAAATGTGCTATCCTTCTGAGTTCAATTTTATCATTGTAGATCACGATGTCATAGCAATTTCCTGAGTATCCATTTTCAGATTCATCATCACATGGGTGACATTGTGGAAAAGCAGTCTAATATTTGTCGAGTATTACTAACTGCGATCCCTCTCCTTCCCCGCCCTTGTCTCAGGCCCCCACCATTGACATCCGCCCACGATCAGCCACCATTCAGATGAACAATGCCACACACCTTCAAGAGAGGGATGAAGAATACGGGTATGAGTGTCTGGATGGCAAGGACTGTGCCAGTTTCTTCTGCTGTTTTGAAGATTGCCGAACGGGGGCTTGGAGACATGGGAGGATACACATCCGTATTGCCAAAATGGACTCATATGCGCGAATCTTCTTTCCCACTGCCTTCTGCTTATTCAATCTGGTTTATTGGGTCTCCTATCTTTACCTGTGAAGAGATACGGGTTTTATTGATAAGGGTCTTATTCACTGAATCTCATGGAAAGAAGATGTCCTAGGTCCATTTAAAGAATCCTCTATGTAGTCAATAATGACTCAAGTTTGTTTTTATGTCATAACCTGACAAATTGTATAATGTATTGTTTGTGCCCAGCTCTCCTTTAATTAGTGTAATTTGAACTTCAGTGTGTGCTACGTTTCAAAACTGCAAGGCAAAGTAAAATGAGGGCAAGAACAATGAAACCGAGCAAGATGATTGTCAGTTATAGCAGCTGATACAGGCTATTTCTATGGTAGTGCTATTTTTACCTGATTCATACTGCAATTAGGTACAGCAGTCCAATACTACATCATTTGTGCACTTGGGGTGAAGTTGTGATAAAGATAAACACAATAGAATATGTCCCTCATTTCAGAAGAATCACAACTCAGTTCAAATATAAAAGCCTAGTTTAGAAATCTATTATGCCAATTTCCCAAGATCGGAAGAAAATTTCCTCCACATCACCTGTACTATGATGTAAATATTTCAGTAACACAGAATGCTTCAACTTTAATGCATGCCTCTCTTTAGAGCCAGAATAAATGGACTGAAGTTATCATCATAATGTACCGTCTTTTATTTTGTGTCTTTGGGCTTTAAAAGCATCAGCAATGTAATTACAAAGATTTGGGTTTGGAACTGGAGGGAGAAATTTTCAAGGCCTTCTCCCTCATGCATGAAGATTTGGATCTTTTTCCTTGTCTAACATATTACAAACTTTAAGTAAAACATAGGCTGAATAAATGACATTTTCCAACTCTAAATAGGCCCAGTTTCCTGAGTGGACTATAAAGTAATGATACGTGCTTGCTGCTAATTTTTCTCCCTTTTAGGATGATAGATCTTAAAACAACTTACCCTCCATCTCAAGATCTGATTTAAGTGACTGTGAGTGCCTTGTGGGCAGAATCCCTGTCATTTCTTCTTTGGGTTCTCGGCACCCTGCACAGTGCCTAGCACATACTGCTCAGTAAACAGAGTTTGAGTTAAGTTGCCCGCATAAGCTTCTGGTGAATCTGTGTTGGCCTTGCAAAGAGTGAGCCATTTTTTCACAGTGGCATTAGTAAGTGATGTTGGATCTTACAGAAATAATCAGAGGATCCAACGAGCTTTGGCTACTTTTTTCATCTTGAAAAAATTGTTTTAGGCAAAGTGTGTAATTCTTTTAAAATAATATCTCTGTTCTATGTTTGTGTACAGAAATGGCTACTGGGGCATAGAGTTTGTTTATTATTCTTCCAGGTTTGGGTATGAGTCAGTTCTAACCCATCCAAAATTCTGCTTGTGAATTTATGATAGGCATAGGCAAGATTCATACTTGTCCGAGATTTAGAATGTAATATTCCGTACTCTGAAAACATGGACTGAAGATTAATTTTAAAATGAAAGAATAAATGAATGGCTTATACGGAGGTCACTAAGCCTGTGTTAGAGGCCTCATTAGACCATATTGTAATTAAAAGAAATGATTGCCGTAGACTTGAAACATGATGAATTCAGCCCAATTTTCATATACTCATCCTGAATCCTTATTTTTCTAAAAGAGTATCCCTTGTTATGCTTTATGGCAATCATTTCTCTAAGCCAGAATTTATCATAGCTAATATAACTTTATAGATAATCTAAAAGAATAGAGAAGAGACAGTGGCTTTGTTGCTATAAAATCATGTAAAGTCATCATTAAGTCATCTGGATGAATCTTGAAATACTTTTAGCTGCCAACTTTACAAATATTTAATGTATCAGTGCTGTAGTATTTAAGTGCAAATGTAAATAGAGTGAATTTATTTTCTCATCTTAAATTGTCAAAATATTCAATGTTGACTTTTGGGGAGAGTTGTTGGCAAATTTCAATGATGAGAAATATGTTGTTATTGTCAACTTGAAATTTGTTCTGTAATGAGGACACTAAAAAAAAAAGCTAGCTTTCCAATGTGTGCATAGTATTGGCAATATGATATATATTATATATAATCTAATCCTTAATTATCAGCTGCTCCCAGTCTATGTATTTGAAAAACCTTTTCACAAAGGGAACTGCTTAACATGTGGACTTTTACAATAAAAATTCGACATTGTAATCCATGGTGGCACCTCAGTGGTCTGGCTGGACTGTTTTTCTTAAGGACTGTGACCCTTCTTCACCATCTCACTCCCCCAGGTGACATTCCTGTGAGCTTTATTTGCAAACTGAATGCCCATGATTCACAAGGAGCTTCTCTTCGCTTCCAAAGAACTGAGATGCATTTGGGTATAAAGAAGGAAGGCAGAAATGTTATGCAAGGTTATGAATGCCCCCACATCCTCCATGCCAAGTCTTCAGACGAGGTTACAAATACGAACTCAGATATTACATTTTGGATCCCAAATTGAGTAATAACCAATTCTTTGCCAGTTGTCAAATCAGCCTTTAGAAGCCTCCGTTTTGCCAATTATAAAATGAGCATAACAATGCTGCCCCATGTAGTTATACTTAACAAATGGTCAAAGACCTCTACACCTCACTTCCAATAGCTCCTGTGCTCTGATGCTCTGTTCCTTCCACATACATCAAATTAGTCCTGCTGCAAGCAACAACCAGGAGTCATAGTTGCCTTCAAGTGATGCTGTCTCATTCTTTAAGGGGAATTTGCATTATAATGCTTCTTTTAAACTAGAGTGGAAATCCAGAGGTCTTTCGTTAAAAAAAAAAATTACACAGCAGATTAGCTATTTTAAAGACCTATAAATAATCCCAAAGAATTGTAAACCCCCGCTCCATATTCTAAAACATAGGGAGTTGATTAGCCCAGCGCCAGAGAAAGTATCATATTTTCGTGAAGTCTTTAAAAATTGTCCAAAGAATAAAACTCTATGATCCTTGACTAAAAGAGCTGTCCTACTTCCGCTGCCTGTCATTTTCTTGGCCCCTTGTGTTTTCCTGTATGCAATTTAAAATTTTTTGCACCTTACAGATATACACAAATGCAGCTGTCACATAGGACTTGTCTGCTGCCTACCCAAATGTTTAGTTGAGGGCATATTCATGGTATAGCTTTTTTCCGTTTTTTTGTCTAGTACCAATAGCGTCTGTGATGAAGATGAAACTGAATTAACCAAATGATGTAGTCTTTAGAGATTATGTCAAAAGGTGTTATCTTTGTACTTTGTCACTATAGATTTTTGTCAAATGAGTGGGGGAAGAGGAACGACCCAGATCAATGATTCTGCTACATTTTCCAGGAAACTATCAGAGATCATGGTGCTGGTTAATGGCAGACTGAAGAGAGTCATCTAAGGATTGGGGCTTCCACAGTACGTCATAATGTTTCAGGATGTGAAAATAAAATTTGGAGTGCTTAATCCTTCCATTCATACTTGGGTACCTGCCAGACTTGTGGAATCCTTCTTTCTTTGACCTTGACTTCACTTTAATTGTCATGACAAGAACTTTAGAATATCTAGTGACAAAGAAAGCTAAATGATTTTTTGCATTTCTTTTATCCTTATTATATAGAATGACTAATCCATTAAATCTAACCAATAGCACTTTCAGAATTCTCTCTCAGAAAGGGAGTCATCAGTCATCTAAAAAATAGTGGACCTAGACTTGCCCTAGGTATGCAGCAGCAGACAATGAAGGAGTTTCCCATGAGATGAGGAGTGACCTAAGTACTATTATTCTTTCAAAATGAGAGGTTACATTTCAGTTACAAAATATATGGTAACTTTTTTGCATATGTGGGTTAATAAAGTTTCCCCTAATTATTATTTGTATAATGAAACAGAGATGTAGAAGCTGTTGATCAAGATTATTAAGGTTCAAACCCTGCACCTATGTAATGTTTATCTCTGTCAATTTCTTATCTGCAAAATGAATATGTTTGTATATATTACACACTATTATATTAATCACATATTATTATAAGGAATAATTGTATCAATGCCACAAATGACCGAATCTTATTAATTTCCCTTGGCACAGATATGAAGTTTTAAAAAGTGTAAATAAGGTTCAAATGGTATAATTGGGAGGGTGAAATAGGAAGAAAATGGCTAAAGGGGAAGTGGGAAGGGGAGGGGAAAGGAAATAAGGGAAAAGAGAAAAATACGAAAAAATGGAAACAAAGTCTTGGATGGGGAAGGGTGAAAGGAGGGCAGGGGTATGGGGAAAAAATAAAGACCAAGGTATATCATGCAAAGGTACAAGATCCCAATGATGAATGGAACTGTACTGTGTGCTTTAAATGCACCAATAAATGTCATGGGAGAAGAAAAAAAAAAAAAAAAGGTCACCAAAGCCATCTGTACCATGCTTAAGAATAATGATTATCATTTCTGAGAACTCTCATTTTTCCAAAAAGAAAGAAAAAGCTCACTGAATCATGGATAGATAGAATGAGAATTCCCCTAAATCTTCTAATCCTGAGCGAGGTCAGTAAGTTTTTCATGAGAAAATGAGAGGTTTTGACTCCTCTCCTGACAGACTTTTAGAGTCTTATCTCTGCTCGATATTATGGTCTCAGATTAGTGATTACTATTTTACATTCATACTCTGTTTTACTCTTTTCTTCTCATTTCTTCTCTAGCCTGCCTAGCCTCCTCCAAAAAAAGCACCATTTTTGTACAATTTTTCTCTGCTAGATAAACTCCGTCATCTCTAATTAAAGATGCTACCCTGTCCATGAATTTTTCCTGGTTTTACTAAAGTATAACATGCTATCTTTTATCTCTTTTTCCAGTATTCAGTAGGATTTTGAGTGATTCAATCCTAGGGTTTACAATTTAAGTACTTAACATTTATTCAGTCCTCCGAGTAAACAATTTTTAAATTAACAATGCTGTGACAAGAATATGACATAAATAATTCACAATCCACTTGCATTTTAAATCAGGTTGTTTATCTTCTCACTATCTCCCCGCTATACAAATCTGCCTCATAATTTTTCCTGTAACTTGTATGTGTTATGGGTCTGGAATGAAGTCTTTTATCAAATACATTTTGATTAAGCACCTATAAGTTTAACTCAATAGAAAACTTTCAGTAGACTGGTATCACAGGCTTCACAAAAGGCACCGTGAACACAGAAAGACAGCAATTTCAATCATTCTTTGTCTTCTGATATCAGAATTTGACAGAGGAGACAAATAAGAATGCAAATAACTACAGTGGAGCAGCTCACAGTAATTTTAGGTAGAAAAAGTTATTATTCTGTGGTAAAACCAGGAGCGTTCCTATGTAACACAAAATATTCCATTATACTATACCTCAGGTGAGATTTAAACAAATGGTTTATGCTTAAAATTTTTAAATGACAGAAAAAGACACATTGCCATTAATCCCCCTCAAATACACCCCCTTGATTCTAATTCACTTATCCCATCAAACTTGCTATTTTTCTGAAATAGTTTTGGAAGTCCTCTTCCACGAGTATCTTTGGTCATACTGTTGTAGATGCCTCAATTTCCTGAACTGCTTCAAAATGTTTACATTTCATGGCCATTTTGACCTTGGGGAAGAGCCAGAAATCATGTGGTGCCAGCTCCCATGAATAAGGCGGATGAGATCATACGTTAATATTTTTTAGGAGCCTGTCTTTCTGCTGGAGTTCATTCAGCAGCAGCAAATATCATATCTTTTAATCAGAGCTCCTAAAGACATTTATAAAAGTGGATTTCCTAAACTACTGTAGAATGTGTAAAGAATGATGGGATGTTTTAAGAGAAAGTACTAATAGCAATATATATTTCACTGTATATATATATATTTTTTTTAATTTAAACATTCACCATATATGATGATCATACAAACCCTGAAGGAGGACATCCTATCATTGATTTAAAGTTTCACTTCTGATTACTAATAAAAAACTCATAGATAATTTATGAAATGTGAAAATCTACAAAGAGAATCATGATTCTTAACTAGCAAGAGTTAACCTGTAAAAACATATTTTTTCTTTTTCCTCTGTGCATATTTAATCATATAGATGTACTATAGATACAGATATAATATAGACCTTTATATAGTAGATTTTTATACAACTCTGCATGTATTCATGACTATACATAAACATTTTCTAACAATGAATTATTAAAGAGCTGTACCACACTTATCTACCTAGTCCCTTATTTCTGAAAATTCCTATTATTTTTCATTTTCTACAATACCTGCAGTAAATGTCTTTGTCAGGCACTGTGTATATCTTCCATGGATATATTCCATATAGCTCATCCCTAAACATGGTCTTTGCTGAACAAAAGTGTAAAAAATTGAACAATTAGAGTTCCGAGAGAACAAAGGTGATACATACATTCCATCAGATAGTTGAACAATGAATATATTACTTACAGATATGTAGCCCAGTTAAGATTCACCAATCAAAGGATGGATGGTATGGTATCATGG